CATGAGTCTGAAATGCAGTTTTATGTTCTTCGTCGGCTTTCAGGAGGATTTGGTGGAAACCAGCGCGGAGGTCCAGAGTGGAAAACCACCGGGCGCCAGACAGTTCGTCCATCAGTTGGTCAAAGATGGGCACCGGGTACTTGGACTTACGAGTAATGGCGTTGAGCTGGCGAAAATCAACACAAAAACGGAAGGTGCCGTCCTTCTTTTTGACAAGCAACACGGGCGAAGAGAACGCACTGGAACTCGGACGGATCAGGCCCTGGGACAGCATATCCTGAACCTGCCGCTCTATTTCATCCTTGAGTTTCGGCGGGTATCGGTATGGTCTGATGAACACGGGCTGTGCCCCCTCAATCAATGGAATCTCGTGATCACATGCCCTTGATGGAGGAAGTGATGTGGGAGCCTGGAACAGATCCTGAAATTGATCTAGGACTGCCTGGATGGGAACCGACATTGACTGAAGAGGTGCTGGACTGTCTTCCTCTATGACTGGATCAATGTGCAGTAAGAGCTGAAGAGGCCCATCTGGGCGAGAGCCCTGCAACAGCTTGAACTGACCACCATAGGGAACCAGAATATGTTTGAGGCGCCAATCAATGAGCATAGGACTATGATCTTCGAGCCAATCCATACCAAGCACCACATCAAAGTTTGCCAACGGTAATGTTCTGAATTCGGAGTAAAATGTACAGCCATCAACCGTCCAAGGTACCTGATGTAGCAGAGATGTGCTCACGAGCCGTCCACCACCGGCAACTTCCACTGAACTGGCGAGCGGATCTGAGGCAATGCCACTAAGTTGTGGAACCAGATTCTCATTAACAAATGATGATGAGCTGCCCGAGTCAACCAAAATTTGGACCGGTATCTGCTGTAAGAAGCCCACCAGACGAACTGTCCGAGCGGCTGGAACACCAGACAGTGTAGACTTGGAGAGGGCCAGCATAATGTGCTCAGCCTATGGCGAAGTTGGAGGTGAATCAGCCAAGGAATCATCGGACGAAAACGATTCCCAAAGTGGATCGACCGCGTGCAACACTTCGGGCGGGCAGCGATGATCACGGCTCCACTTAGTACCACATTTGAAACAGAGCCCCAGAGCACGTCGGTAGGTCTTGAGGGCGGTAAGCTTGGCATCGCCAGACGTTGGTACAGCACCAGCCACCGCAGTGGCCGAGGTAGGAGCGGTCACTGCCGGCCGTTCGGAGCGTGGTGGCGGCGGTGGTAGTGGCAGGGGCATCCGCGCCGCGGCCACCGGCTTGTAGGAAGAAGACCAATCACCACCTCGAGCGTGCTTCGGGGCAATGGGAGCCATCATTTCTTCCTGCAATAATGCCAACGAACAAGCAGTATCCAGGTCTTTCGGAGATTGCATAATGACGGTTGCTCGGATTTCATGCTTAAGCCCATCAATGAAACGCTGGGTAAAATAGAGGGGATCACTGATTTGGGAATAGGAGTTGAGGTGATCTTTGAGCTCACAAAAATCATTCACATACGTTTGGACAGAGGAATGCTGGCGGATGTTAAAGAGCCTGCGTAGCAGGATTTCATGCTGGTTGCGATCAAATCGATCGTGGAGAAGGCGGCAGAACGTATCCCAAGAGGCGTTTTCAAGCTGAGACTGAATAGATTGGTACCAGCGATCAGCGGGGCCTTCGAAATACATCTCGGTGACACTGAGCCAAAGAGGTTCATCCACCAGGTACATGCGAAAGTATTTTTCACAGCGGCGCCGCCAGCGGCGAGGATTTTCGCCATTGAATTTAGGAAACGGGAGTTTGGGAAGGCGGCCCAGATTAGCTTGGATTTGCGCCTGATCCGCAGGGCGTGGAAGGTGTGGAAGGCCTGGATTGGGGAATTGTGTAGTTGGCGGTGTGATGCGGAAATTGGGAACAGGTTGGTAAGGGGCCGAAAATTGGTGGGGAAACGAATTGGATAGTGGAGGTGGATAATGGTGAGGCATCGATGGGGACATTGGATTTGAAACTGGAGGAGGATGATGCGTAGGCAGGGGTTTGGGAAGGGAGGTGGATATTGGTGGGGGAAATACTATTGGGTGGGACTGGGAAATCGACATTGCTGCCGATGGTTGTGTAGGAATCGGCAGTGAGTGGACAGGGGGAAAAACACATGGAGGAGGAAGAAGACTCCAACCCAGCGCAGACGGCAATGGAACATGAGATGGAGCCGGCGACGTATCAGATGCCGGGATATGGGTCCACGTCGTGACGACGCCTGGCCCAATATCCCGTGTAGTCGAAACGACGCAGGGCCCAATGGGCGATTCCACGGCGGAGCCCGCAGTAGCTTGCGCAGACGCCGGACCCGGGGAAGAGAGGATGCCTCGTTCACAAGCCGTTGTCTCGAACACCGCGCGTCCCAATGGTTGGTGAGCTTGAGACCTTGAGCGGCGGTATCCGAGATCCTTTTCAGACTCAACCGCCGCCGCCGCCCAGCTCAGCTCGCCGCGGCGCCGAGCTTGTTCATCCGGTCGTCCTCCTCATCGCGGACGCGCTCCACGCGGAGGGACTCGAGCTCCTGGAGGCGACGCCCAGTGTGGGATCCAAAGACGGCGCCCACGCTATGCGAGTCGAGTCGCGTAAGCCTCCCACTCGGTGATGCGACGCCAGACTCGGGTTGATGACGACGCCGCGGTGGACTCGAGGAAGGCGAGGCGGCGTGGTGGTGGCGGCGCGAGCCGACTCTAGATCGGCAAATCGGCGCTCCCATTTGGCGTCGTGCGCGTTGAATCGGTGGGCCGACTCCTCCCTGGATTTCTGGATCTCCTCCAGAACCATCTTCATGTTAGGTTCCATAGCACCGTGGAATTTCTGGAACCGAGTGTAATGATTGTGGGGAAGGGATGGGGAGGCCAGAATCGACGAGTCTCTGATACCAGATGTGAGATGCAGCAACTTGGAGGATGGAAAAGGAGGAGTAGAGGAAGAAAAGCAAACAGTTCGGAGGAATAGATCGAAATTAACAGAATGTTTGATACAATTTTTGTTCACCCTTCTCTCTCTTGCCTTGGATACATATACTAGTGCCTACGCCGCTCACAGGTATTCTGCATACTTCTGGTTGGGCCGTCGGATCCGCTTGGGCCGACCGGAGCTTAGCGAGCCATGAGGTAGGCCTGAAGGAGACGTCGTAGTAGCAGGCCCAGCAGGGAGTGGGGTGCTGACAGGCGTCCCCAACAAAACCTGTAAGGCCTTGTTTAGATTGGGGTTAGAAATCAGTATTTGATACTGTAGCACTTTCGTTTGTATTTGACAATTATTGTCCAATCATGGCTTAACTAGGCTCAAAAGATCCGTCTCGTAATTTACAATCAAACTATGTAATTAGTTATTTTTTTATCTACATTTAATACTCCATACATATGTTTAAAATTTTGATGTGACGAAGAGAATAAAAAAACTTGCAATCTAAATAAGGCCTGGCTGAGGTGTACGAACAAAACAATAAAATACTTACTTAGACTGCACAGCAAATGATGTGGGCCGCAAGAGCAGAGACCAGCGATTCTTGGGGAAGTGTGCGAGCCTAGCGACGAGCATGTCACCAGCGACGAGTTTTCTTATGATTCTCTCTCATCCACGTCAGAGAATAGCTAGCGCCTAGCGACGAGCATGTCGCCCTTAGCTTCTACGGTCTTCCTGGGGTCAGAGAATCTTGGCTCCTTGCATTGTTTTGGTATGGGTTTACTTTACTTGGGCCACGTTTAGTTCTAAATTTTTTTTTTCAAAAAGTGTTACAGTAGTCATCACATCGAATCTTGCGATATGTGTATGGAATAGTAAATATAGATAAAAAAAAACTAATTGCACAATTTGGTTGGAAATCGCGAGACGAACGTTTTGAGTCTAATTAGTCTATGATTGAACATTAATTGCCAAATAAAAACGAAAATGCTATCATAGCTAAATTTTCAACTTTCACCCAACTAAACAAGGCCTTGAGGCACTGAGACTGATGAGCAGTGGGAGTGTCAGATTTGTGCTGGCCTGCTGGGATCGTTTTGAAATTGCGATATGCTATGCCCTGGGGCTAAAGGGCTAATTTTGATATGTTATGCGATTTGTGCCATTATTCCTTTGTATAGCTACTACACCTCACCAAGTGTGACAAAATTTAGATCTCGAAATGAAGAAAGAGTTTTTTTCCCCTCAGTGGCTGCTGTAGTCCTGTCAGTTTAAAATTTAGTGTTTAGTTGATTGGTGTACAAGTTGTCCCACTATATTCTTTTCAGACAGATTTCCACGTTTGTTATCTGATATTATAAGTTCAATTGGCGCCATCTGGTTGTTCGATTTGATCGGATGATAATTTGTTCGCTATTCGAAAGTACTACTAGAATTTGTTGTGCAATAATGTCTATAAATAATTATTTGTCAGTTTATCAAGCTATGATCGACACTATCTTGCAATTGCAAGGATAAGTGGATAACCACATTACATTTTTTTTCTTTCATGAATTCGTTTCTGACAGAATAAGCTATTTCATTTGCCTGCTATTTATTCATGCAATACAGAGCACACCAACCTGAATCTGCAGCATACAAATATAAAACAACCTGGTCTGTATTCAATGTATTTAATATGTATCAATTAGTACATGTTGTACATGAGAAAGAACTGTGAGGCTGTGATCAGCAGCATTGTACAATATGTGGTTCTACTGTCGAAGTAGGAAAACTAACTGAATGGACATGACGCCATTTCCATTCATCCCGAAAATAAACCGTTCCTCCTTCAGAAGCTGCCTGTATTATGTACAAGGTCACATAACCCTTCCTGCTTAGTAACAGCATTTTCGTTATTCTATGGTGCTACTAGGACGACATTCTGCTAATGTATTCCAGTGCTTCTGTTGATATGCCGATTATAGCATACAGCACAGCAGGCAGAGTAGCAAATACTGGTGTCTGCATTGTATGGTGACACAGATGGCGTTCAGCATTGCGAATGCCTCTATTCACCATGAAAGCTCAATTCCACCTCTTTGAGTTTTTAAGCGACTTTGTTTTTTGTTTGCTTTGTTGGAAGGCCTGCATCTTCTGCTTCTTTCTGACGGCTTTCTCTGCCTGCATTAGAGTTCAGAAAACGAAAAGGATTGTTAGACTGGCAAACCAAAGTAAACCAATTATACAGTGCACACCTGAAGTGGCATAAATATTTACCTTGGACATTTTGGATTTAGCTTTTACTTTGGGGGCTTTCTCCTCGAGCTCTTCCTCACGGGCAAGTTCCCTTTCTCTGGCTTCAAGGTTCCTTTCAAGGTAATACTGCAAACATTTGATAAAGAAAAAACTTCATCATTAATGGTTATCTCATCTTCCAATGACCTAGACAATCGCATTGATTTGATGCCAATTTATCACTGAATAGCTGGAGCCATTATGATTTTGTTTCCTAATTGGGTCATGGCAGATTCAGCATGGGAACTTTTTGACACTAGATAGATTTCTTAGTTCTTCTCTTTCACTGCATAGTTTCTGTCATACTAATTTGGTACATGACCATCTAATAGTTTCATTGAGAATGACAATACAAAGCACTTATGCCATGTTAAGCAGAGAACACTATAGATGGATGCAATCAGTATTAAGGGAACTATTATATGCAAAGAGTTCAACATATAGGTGAGGCAAGTTTCTAAGATCATAGGACAGCTTACATTGTAATCTCCTTGATAGTCTTGGATAGTCTGATCTTTCACTTCAATGACTCTGTTCACAATTTGTTTTATAAAGTACCGGTCATGAGAAACTGTTATTACGGTACCTGTATATTCTGATATTGCCTCCTGTCATGCATGAAATAAAGTTATTAGGACTGCATGCTAGAAAATTTCCTCAATCCAACATGAGAGAGAGAGAGAAATGAGGAACTGATAGATCATAAAAACTGATTATTGTATAGAACGAGAACTGTGTCTGACCTCAAGCATTTCTTTTGATGGGATATCAAGATGGTTTGTCGGTTCATCCAAGATGAGTAAAGTAGATGGAGTCACCATGAACTTGCAAAATGCAAGCCTTGCCTAAGAAATCATAAATAAAGGGTGAGCAAATGTAAACAGGCCAGTAATACTCTTCTACAAAAATCATTGTCAACCACCAACAGAGAGCATTTAGGCAGAGCTTATAAAGGTGACTTGTGAGGAGTAAAAAACTAAAGTAAAACTGTACTGAAAACGTGCATTACCTTCTCTCCACCACTTAAAAACTGAACTTTTCTATCCAGCATGTCATCCCTGAAGTTACAACGGCCAAGGAGACCTTTGATATCATCAAGTGTCCAGTCCTCTGCAGCTTCTACTACAGTGTCTAGCACAGTCTTCTCTAAATCAAGAGCTTCTGCCTGGTAGAACATCATATCCCATTAATCTAATTGGAAAAGGACAACTTTTCTTGTATTTATTCAGTAGGAGCATGACTAATAACCAAGTGCCCCCATGGCGACATCATATCTAGACAACCACAAGAGAAGATAACAAGCATAGTAACTCTATTTACCTGATTCTGCTCGAAATAGTTTGGCAACACATTATGGTCCCCAAGAAGCACCTCACCACCTTGTGGCTTCTCCATCCCCAAAATAAGTTTAAGCAATGTGCTCTTTCCACAACCATTGGGCCCAATAATAGCTATCTTTTCACCTCTCTCTACTATAAGATTAGCATTGTTGAACAAAGTCTGGACACACAACAGAGCAATCAGGATAGGTGCAAAAATTTGATGTAGAGAATATATCACAGTATACAGATTCAGAAAACTAAAATTTTGGAAGAAATTTTCAATGGGCATTTACACAACAATGCTGACCTTATCCTCAAATCCGAATTGAAGATTGTTTATTGTCAACACAGTTCTCCCACTTCTTCCACGCTCAGGGAATCTGATCTTTAGCTGCTTCCTTTGGAAAGGTTTCTCAATCAACCCTTCCTTTTCAAGCTTCTCCAATTTCTGTTGAAACGAGGTAAAAGTAAGTAGCCACACAAAAAATGTGTGGAAATATATTAAAAGAAATAGCAACTGAAAATACAATTCGGTCACAATGATTTGTTGCAAGCTTCCAATGAGCAATCCATGTAGTTACCTTTTGCTCGCTGGAAGCACGCCCAGCATTAACTCCGGCACCAAGTCTGTTTATCAGCTCCTTTGTCTGTTCAATCTCCTTCTGCTGCTTCTCCCACGCAGCATACTGTGCCTGCACTGCTACCGCCTTCGCTAGAATGTACTCCGAATAGTTACCCTTGTATGTCTTGGACACACCAAATTCAGTTTCCACTATCTTTGTACACAACTGATCAAGAAACGCCCTGTCATGAGATATAATGACCATCGGCACATCCTGTGTCTTAAGATAGCTCTCCAGCCACTCAACGGTATCCAAATCGACATGATTCAGAGGGCTCATCAAGCAAAAAGCAAATCAGGGTCCTGCACAAAATCGAATTTACAATGTTATTAACAAATTGGGACACTATGCTTACAACATTTAAAACTAAAAGCAGTTGCTATCAATAACCCAATGACAATCTATCAGAATTAACTGCCAATTCGCCACAATGCAATTCCATTTATAGTCATCACAATTCCTAACATTGTAAGTTTGCAAGGATTATGCATGATGTAAAGGTTAATTAATGTTTATATATACCTGAAGAAGTATCTTGCCAAGAGACATCCTCATTTTCCACCCACCACTGAAGGAGGCGACGAGGCGGTCGGCGTCCTCAGGCATGAATCCGAGCTCTGGCATGAGCTTCTGCACCTTGACGTCCACCATGTCGAGGTCGACGTCCTGGGAGCGGCGCTGCAGCAGGTCGAGCTCATCGAGGAGCCGGCCCATGAGGTCCATGTCCTCGGTGGCGCCCTCGAGCGCCGCCTGCACCTGCTCGAGCCGGCGCTTGACTTCCATCTCCTCCTGGAAGGCGCTGAAGAACTCCTCCCTGACGGTGCGGGAGGCGGAGACCTCGAACTCCTGGCTGAGGAAGGCGATCTTCATGTTGTCCTTGGCCTTGACGACGGCGCCGCCGTCGGGCTGCTCGAGCCCCGCGACGATGCGGAGCTGCGTCGTCTTGCCCGCGCCGTTCACGCCGACGAGCCCCACCTTCTCGCCGCGCTGCACCTCCCAGGACACGTCCTTGAGCACCGTCACGCCCTTGTAGGACTTGGAGATCCCCTCCAGCCGCACCCCGGACGGGATGCTAGATGCGCCGCTGCTGCTGCCGCCCGACCGCTTCTTCTTGGTCCCGGCGCCGGCGGCGGAGGGGTCGGAGGAGGTGAGGAGGGAGGAAAGGTCCTGGCTTTTGGCGTCCTCTTTCTCCTCCGTGGTTGTGCTGGTGGAGAGGGAGGATGAGGAGGAGGTGGTGAGGCGGCAGTATAGGGGGGCATGGCGGCGGCGGCGGAGACGGCGGGATGTGGGGACGGCGCGGGAGGAGGAGGAAGCGGAGGGGAGGAGTGAGGAATGGAGGCGGAGGGAGCGTACGAGCTTGCCCGAGAGGAGGTCCATGGCGGCCATGGAGTTCTCCGTCTCTCGGAGCTTGCTCTGTTTTGGGTGGAGGGAGAGCGGCCACACAGCACGGACCCAACCAGGGGAGAGTGTATGGGTGAGGAAGGAGGAGGGGTAGAAGAAGAAAGATTTTACTAAACCAATTTTGGTGCGTAATTTTCAGGTTCTAAACAATGACCTTCACTTTTTAAATCTCAAAAGTTATCTTTATCATTTGTTTTGCTTTGGGATTTTTTTGGATAAATAAAATTCCTTCGTGCAAAAATCTAGCTTTTCACAGGAAAGGGGAGTAATGTATTTCTTTCTCCATTGAGTTTTCTTTCCCCAATTGCTTTAATGTGGTCTCAAAAATCTTTGGGGATAGGGTCTAGAAACTATTGGTGTGTGATATTGACGCGGTAAAAGGATCAATAATAGTGTTTTGGTTTTATGTCTTGATTTTTTTTTATGAAAGCCTAGTTTCAGATTCTTCTAGAGAGGCAAAGAAGTAATAGTTTTATTTTTCCTTTGAGGTTTCTATTTGTTGATTTCATGTGGTCTAAATGTTTTGGTAGGGTAAAAATAGGTAGAAGTTTTCTCCCCATGAATTTCCCACAATTGAGGAGTAGTTATTGGCAAGCAACAGTCACCACAAAGGGGTATTTTTGAATGATCTTTCTAAAAAATCATTAAGCCCTATTCGTTTATTTCGGAACGGGGTCGTTCCACATGGAACGAAGCAGCCTGTGTTGAAAACTGGAGTATTCTGGCCAGGATCGAAACCTGGTCTGGCCATTGTTGAACGAGCCCTAAGAAGGTTCGCTTTGAATACTCTCTCTTCTCTAAACTTGCATCTGAAATTCTTGTTCTATTTTGTTTATGTTAATACAGTATCTCTTTTGCTTTTGTTTAGAAGGAAATGGGAGGCACTCAAGCTTGTTTTTTCCCCCCTTTCACTTTTCCATATGTTGTTCAGTATGCTTGGGTACATTTTTGGAGTGAGCAACCTCTCAAGAAAAGAAAAACCTAGAACTTTCTGCTGAGGATTGAACATCTCTGGTTCAGCGTTTTATGGAACTTCGATGACGAAAATGATGCCCTTTTGTGTTTATGAATGCGTCCCCTGACGATGGGCTGGGAAATTCTTGTGGCCTGTGTTCATTCATGGGTTCCTACGAGGCCGCGGTGGACCGCACTGCCGTCTGCCGGGCCGAGCGGGACCCAGACGTGTGGCCGCGGGAGGAATCGTGTGGAGCTGGAGCTTCGCGGCCACTGGCTGCCACCCACGTGGCGATCGCGAGCGCGCCGGAGATAAGCAGCCATCCGGAATCCGGATCCGGTCCATGGCTCGCGCTGTGGTCCGCTGATGATCACGGCAAGCCAATCATTTGGGTCGATTTTGAGAAAGGAGACGAGGATATTATTATTCTCTCCACAATCTAGGTATTTTATTTTCTTTGAGAATTAGAGTATGTTTGATACGGGAGCAAATTGGTAACCAGCTAAAAATTGGCTTAAATTAGCTCTAATTCATCTAAACTGGAATACTAATAGGTGGACTAATTTTTTAATAAGTCTTTAATTAGTTGTTAGCCAATTTGATAGGTAACCTCAACTAATTTAAGCTGATATTTGGCCTAACCTCAACCAGTCCTAGGCTCCTAGCTCACCCAAAACAGGCCCTCGATGTGTATATCTGAAGGCATGTAGTTCGCTCACAAACACACACGTAATGTATATGTGATTATTGTCGCTCTTCTCTCCAATGACGTTTTAGCTGATTGCTCCGAGCTTATTTAGAGCAAGGCTAATAATACAGCCGGCTGCTGGCTGCAAGAATCCTTACAGCCTACTTCTCGGTTCACTTATATAGTAGTTACATCTTCAGCATTAATATATGGTCCACCTGTCTCTTTCACGGAGTTTCTCGATTTTTATGTCTAAGCCGGCTGTAAGTTTACAGCCTGCTTCTTCTCTCTCTCCTCTTCTCTCTCCTCCACGTCAGTATTCAATCTGTTTACAGTCTGCTATTATACTTGCTCTTAGCAGCTCCACCTATAAGCAATGGCTGGAGTAGGCTGAGCAAATTTTAGTAGAGGCCACGTGTATTCGATTTGGGTACCCTTATGAACGCATTTAAAGTACTAGACCGATAAATCTTAAAATTGATCAAATCCCAACTAGCGGCCCTCTATTGACCGACACATCTCACTTGCTAATACAGAACTAGTGTTGAGCCAAAAAGATACAAACTCGAGTGGATAAGTTCTAGCTAGCATTAACAACATTCTAGTTTGGAGGCTCGGTTGGTTGATGAAATGGCCGTGTTGTGGACTGCCTGTGGAACATCAGGATCATCTAAAGCTTTTGACAAGCACAAGCATGAAAAATCAAAAGCAAAAACGGGGAGTATAAGACTATACACCTAAGCAACTCGAACACGAAACGTTAATTGAGTTGGGTCGAATCACGAATGGAAGGCGGCTGCCTACGTGGAGTCGTGGACGCCCATCTCCGCGATCGGTGGGCCATCTCGTGATAAATCGATGAACTAAACTGAGGTTTTTTTTTTGCAAAAACCGGGCATCTTCTCAAGGAAAAAAAGTTCATATTACCTCCTCAACTTTCGTGAAGGTCCTTTTTTTTGTCCCTAGACTCCAAAATCGGGTAAAACACCTCACTCAGCTTTTAAAACCGTTCATCTTACCTCTCTGGCCCTGTTATAAGTGGTTTTGAAGACGGTATTGTCTTTTTCTTTTTTATTTATTTTAGCTGAATCTTTAAAAAAATCATAGTAAATCACAGAAAAAATTATAAAATAGAAAATCTAATTTTGTTGGACTCCACATGAGCATATCCATACACTGAATATATAATATGGTATGCTTTAGTATAAAGTTTCTGCTTTAGATATATGATTTTCTGTAATTAAATGGAATAATTCATAGCTGCAGTTTCTATGGTCCAACTGTGGTAAAATTTTTATGGGGGCTAATTCTTGTATGCTTAAACTGTAGTCATAAGTTCATATTCATTGAATCATGTATAACTTAGTTATAGGTTTTATTTAGGTTTATGCTTGTTAAATATAAATAAATCTATAACTAAGCTATACATAATCCAATGAGTATGAAATTTTTTCTACAGTTCAATCATATAATAAATAACCCACCATAAAAATTCATCATAATTGGACCATAGAAAGTACAGCTATGAATTATTCTAATTAATTATAAAAAAGCATAGATCTAAAACCACAATAAAAAAATTATACTAAAACATATATATTGACACAAAAATGTGGCGATGTGATCAACACACAGCAAGCTGGATGATCTGAGTGGAACGAGACCAGAGATCTACTTGGCTTCAATACAGAACCAGCCGATTCTGAAAATCCAACGACATGCCAGTCAATTTGATCTGCAATTGACAATGAGAGAAAATCTTATTAGTAATTTAAAGTAGAACATATCGGTGTTGTACCAAACAGTTTCAAATATACGGCTAGATAGCCGATTCAATAAGGCTATGTACTAAATAGTCGATATCCGGCGTATCCATGAAATGAAGATCTTTAAATCAATGATTATCGGCTAATATTAAATGATAATAATATAAATCAAAATAATCGATGCTCATGTAACATCAGAAAGCATCATCGGCTAAATGGAACATAATCGATATAAAGCGTCGAGCCGATAAGTTTGATGAAAAAAGTATAACATGCGCACAAATCGACTGTCTAATATAAATGAATCTACAAACAGAATCTAATCTATTATCATCAACAGTGAGGTTCGATCGGATCGATGCAGCTATGATAATAATAACAAACTAAAGCCAAAGAATCTATAAAACCATCTAGATGTTGACAGATTCATGAAAATATGCTATATGCGTGAGAGTATAGGCAAATTGGCTAAAATAGCTGATGCAGTCATAGCAAACAAATAGAGTACATATCTTAATCATGAACAAGACCACTAATCGATAATTTCTAATCTAAAGTCTTACCAGTGAGGTTCGACCGGATTGATGCAGCTATGGTAGTGTCATTAGATTAGATCTCATTAACTAGTGAGTTTATTTAAGATTGAAACATATCTTTAGATACCTACTATGTTTAATTGGAATAGAGATAAAATAGTCGATCTAGCAAAATTAAGCCATCAATTATAAGATTTAAAGCGTGACTAGGTCAAAGCACGACCAATTAAGATGATATGATGTCGATCTATCTCTATCTCAATCGGGTGATTTTGTTATAATTAATAAAACATTAATTATAACAAGATCGATAACTGGTGAATTAACAAAAAACAATAAAGAAAATCTTACTAATCGTAGCTGATTCGATAACCGGTGATATTGTATTAAACAACAAGTTATTTAACACAAGATCGATAACTTTGATCTATATTATGATTCGTAAGAGATCAATCAGCTGATGCAGCCTTACAAACTACGATACAGATCGATAACTAATTTATATTATGGCTCATAAAAGATCAATCAGTTGTTGCAGCTTTACAAGTACAATACAAGTCGTGACGGTACTCAAAAGCAAGCTGGAGGCCGATCAGTCGATGCAACCCTATTTGCTGAAGAACTCGTCGAGATCTACAGTACTTCTAATACGATGGCGAAAGCTGAAAAGATTGTATTGATTGAGTGTTTGTTTTCTTATACAATAACCAGGGTCTAATATTTATACCCGGAACCTAAATATGAATCCTACTCAAATATGATTCATTACAATTCTTGGAATAAAAGAAAACTTGCTAACTTCATAATAACTTAGACCCTAATTTTCCTTATTTGTAGAGTCCGACACATCTTACTGACGCCATTCAAGCATAGCCCATTGATGTCGTCTGCTGACGTCATCTATAAAATAGCCGATTCTGACCTCGCATCTAAATCAGCTGATACCGATTCACATCTAATCGGTTCCTTGATGACACAATCCTGGAAACTTTGAGTTCTCGCGTTCTTCTTCCCAAATTTTGGTGTAAACACACGTCCCC